TTTTTGGGTTTGGGTTAAATGGGTATTGGGATTTTGGGCTTGGGTAGTTGGTAGGCTTGGGTTTTGGATTTTGATTTTGGTTCTTTTTTTGGTTTAAGGCTTAAAATTGAAATGGGTTCGAATTGGGCCATTTAAGATGGGTTTAAGGTGTAAATGGGTTTTGGGTTGAACTTTAATGCATTTCACCCTTCAACTTTTCAGTTCTTTAACTGGGTCCCTCATCCTTCAACTTCTTTCCAATCATTCACAAAAATCCCCATTTTACTCATGAACCTAACAAGAAAAACAAAGATAAAAACATATTAGTTAAAATAAAATAAAATCCTACTAAAATTTGAGTTATGACACAAGAGTAAGGCAATTGCTAGCTTGATTTTAAACAAATAGCTTTAAGCCACAAAAAGTGAAAACAAAAGAAATGAAATTGATGAGAGTTGGGAAATAAGGATATCTACTTATTAATCAAAGGAATTAGAAGATTTGAAACCAAAAAACTCATTGTTTGCTTCAATAGAAGCTCCTAATTCACCCAAATTTGCAAGGTCACACTATTAAAAAGCTATTGCAAACAAGAATAAAAGGGATAAAAATATAATGGTAAAGCCAAGTTTGCTCCAACATGATTACGTGTCAAAAGAATCTTGTTCTAGTTGCCTAATAGAATATTTGAGTGGGCAGAAATCACACCTAATCCATAAATTACATGCTAAAAAATAGATACTATCTGTTAAATATTTCATTTTATAAACATTATAAATGGTTTTCTACGAGGTGTTTTACAATCAAGTTAGAAATGATGAACAAATAGTCTACAACCCAATTCAAAGTTCAATTGACTGAAAGAAAAACCACATCAACTAGGTTCACCACTGGCCTAAATTGTATTTAACTTGGAAACCATCAAATGACAATTACTTACAGTTGTTTCAAACTTTGGTATTCTCCAATATTTGATGGAATTGTGTCAAAAATGTTACTATTCCTTAATTCTCTGCAAGACATGTAACTAAATTATTAGAGACCAAGAAAAGGAAGAATGAACTTTAGTGTGTGTTTGACAATAAAAGAAAACAAATTCAACTAGATGCCAAATCTGGACCGCCTTACAAGATGCTTAAGGACTTCATATTCTTAATAAATTCTAACGTAGAACTTCCATTAGACAAACCATTAATCCTCCTATTTGCATATCACAATTCACATGAGTTAGTTAGCAACAGAAATCTTCAATATACTGACAAGAGTTAATTGAAGGGAGTAGGGGTACTCACAATTCTTCCATTGAAGTTAGACTAGCAAAGGTTGGAGGTATTGGACCATCGAAAGAATTTCCTTGAAACCTCCTATAACAAAACAAAAGATTAAAAAACTATAATAGTTCAATTTATCAAGCCCCAAATCCTCAAATAATAGTGGTAAAAGATCACTTGCAAGCTCAAGAGGCTTTATATAAATTGAAGCATCATAATATATATATATATATATAAAAGAGGAAAATGATGATGATACTATAGTTTTCTTACAAAGTAGTAAGTTTTGACCAATTCCCAATAAAGTCAGGTATCCTGCCTGTGAGTTCAATGTCAGATGCCCATCTGAAATACATGGATGAAATGCTTAGAACACTAACATAATATTTTCTCTTAGATTATATATAGCTTTAGAATTTTCAAGTGAAAAACATTTAAAAAGCTCTTACAGTGTAGCTAGATTTTGTAGCCTAGCAAATGTCGAAGGAATGTCACCACTAACTCCAGAGCTACCAATGTAACTACCAACAAAAGAGATATTTGAAGCCATTAAGTACATGTGTGTGTTTGTGCTCTATGCACATGCAATCAGTTTTATGATAATACCATACTAAATAAGGATCTTAGAGAACTCAAAAACATTTCAGGAATAATGTTTGTAACAGAAGAAGCACATTATAAAGTTCAACACAATTGATGAACATTTCTTTAATTGCTAAGTACACAATTATTATTTTCAACATCCAAAGTAGGTTCCATACATTCAAATTAGCAACCATGTAAATGTTTTACATAAATCATTTTCTTTATACATCAGATGATAAAACACAAAGAAAGTTCCAAATGGGTATAGACATAAGAAATTTTTCTTAAAAAGCATTTTGAAGATTTAAATTAGTGAATTGGTAATTAATTTTAAAAATTGATGCAGAATACCAAATACTTCAAAACACTAAGTTTTATTAGCATACTCAATTTTAATTTTCATGAAGAAGTTGGATCTTCTGCATTTTGTTTATCGAGGCATTCATTCATGCATTTGAATTTGTGGTACATGTGCTTGTTACCATGCTTTCTTAAGTTTCATTTCAAACTATAGTTTAAAAGTGTCTTCATCGAACAATTATCACGGACATGGCAAAATATTCCTTCAACCTCAAGTGGGTTTTCTTTATCTTTGCTTTCTTTAGCAGCTTATGGGAACTCATTGTTGTACCCAACTAAGCTAAAGTTCAAGTTTCTAATTACCTCTCAAATTCCTTGGTTTACAATAAAGTCAAAGGCACTATAATCCCCACAGATTGAATGGTAGTCTTTTTTTTTTTTAATGATAACAATTCTACCAGTGACAGATGTTCCAAAATAATTAGTATCTAGCCCACCAAAATTCTAGGCTTAGTTTGAAAACGCTGTCTATAGTACTTTTTGCATATTTACATAACTTTTTGTAACTTATGCGTTTGGTAAATTATACATCCCTACTTTTTCATAAAAGAATACAGAAGTCATCTTATCCAAAATTAATAGAATTCCAAAATAATTTAATAAAATTGCCAAATCTTTTTCCATACATTATATATTAAATTATTAATTAATTTTATTTTAAATAAGACTGTGTCTAATTGAGTAATTTTACAATAGGTAGTTTTTTTTGAAATATAATTACCAAACACTAAAATGTTTTTCGTGACAGTACAAAACAGCATTTCTAACAGCTACAGCTACAAGGCAACACCAGACAATATTGTCAAACTAAACCCTAGTCTTATAATTATCAGTTATCAAATGAAATAAAGAAAGATTTGCAAAGCACTAAAAATAGAAAGCTAAGTATGTTGTGCATCAAAAGTCAAAACTTACAATTGTTCCAATCTCAAACAATTCCCAAGTTCAGATGGCAAAGGACCGGAGAAGTTATTTGAACTAATTGACCTATAAAATATAATAAAAGAAAAGGTGCTGATAAAAAAAAATAATAGCAATAATAAAAGAAAAGGTAATGTACAAAAAATCTCAAGCATTTTTGCTTTGATTTAGATATTAACATTGATTGCCAAAAGAGTATAAAATTATGCCCTAATTACTTAACACATGCATCAATTGACAAAAGTGAACTTATATATAATAAAATAATAAAAGACAAATGGTGTTAACTTACAACGATCTTAAATCAGTAAGCAATCCAAGTTCCTTCGGAACCTTGCCGGATAAAGCATTAATGCCAACACTCCTATTAAATACATATAGAATAAACATTGAAAGAGAAATAATAATTTATAGAAAGCAAAGTCATGGATTTATGTCAAAAATTGGGATTTCCTTACAGATATTGCATTTGAGTTAGATTGCCAATAGATGCAGATAGGGGACCAATCAAATGATTTTGACGCAAATCCCTGTATGCAAAAATGGGAAGAAACATTATAAGTATATTTAATTTAACAAACTAGAGTCTATTTTCTAAAAATTGGAAAGTGCTAAAGAAAAATATAATCTCAAGAAACGTACAAATTGGTGAGGTGAGTCAAATTCCAGAGTGCATCCGGAATCACACCTACAACGCTCAAGGCGTAAACTTTCCTGTAAAAATGGCGTCTGCAGTAAGCAATCTTGAAATGGAACCCTACACATTGGAGATTTTGAGATGAAATTGGAGAGGGTTAAGGGAAGTTTGGGGATTACGTACAGTTGGGTGATGTGACAAGTGGAGTTGTCGCATTGACATGTGATGATGGGGTTGTAAGTCCCACTGTCGAAGGCGGTGGAGTCTAAGGCGACTCCGCTGCAAAGCTCACCGCTTATATTCCATTGAGCATTTGCTGATATTCTCCATTGTTGAAATATAGAGTTCAAAATTCTCGCTGCAATCAATAGTGTAGACAATTTGGAGCTCAGGTTTTGAAATGTCACTTGCACACCAATTTGTGGTTTTGAATTTTGGGTTAATGATAGATTTAGTCCCAAGATCGAGATCATCTGTTAATTTCGTCCATAATCATTTTCAAGAGTCAAGTTAGTTGTTTTTGGCTTTTTGGGGACGGAGTTAAGTTACTAATTATTTGTTATTATTGTCATATTTTCTTTTTAAAATTAGAAAATTAAACCCGAACAAATAATGATTAAAGTTCAACCACCATTAAGATTTAATATACACAACTCTTTTAAAAAAGTGATAAAATTTAAAAGGTTCAATATTCAAATCCACAATTTTACTCTTCATCCCTCAATTTTCGACTTTCACCAACAATTTAAACATTTTCTCATTTACCCCCAATTCCCCATGTTCAAAAAAAAAAACTACTTATCCATGTCAAATATCTAAGTTCTCGTTCATATTTTCTTTAAAGCCTAAATCTCTAAATCCCTAATTTCTCAACTCCCTTTTTCATCTACGATGCACCAATTTGCAGCATTCAACTCCTTAAATCTTTAATTTTTCTCAATTCCACTCCATCATCTGTCACACACTTTCCTTATCTCTCCACCAATTTCTGCCACACTTCTCTAGATTTCCATCATGTTTATATTTTTTAATTATATATAACGAAATATATACAATTCTCACTACGTCTCGTGTTGTGAGGCACCTTTCCTTGTTATTATTATTTTTGAACATGAGAAAATTTAAGAAAAGGGGAATGAAACACAAGTAATAGAAGTACAACTATAGTCATGGCCACTGATAGGTAGGTGCACCTCATTGCAGTTTTAGCTGTAGATGCAAGTTAGTTGTTTAATTTTTAACTAGTGAATACTTTTTTTGAATTTAAAGCATCAAAATATAAATGTCTGGGTAACAAAAAAGTTAAAATTGAACTATTTAAAAGTTAAGGGCTAAATTGATTTATAATCTACATAAAAAAATTAAAAAATTTTTTTTTATATAACCTTATATATCATTTATTAATAAGTAGCATTTTTTACATTTTAGAAATTATGAATTTATATGCATTTACTTATACAAAAATATGTAAAAATTGTAAATAAAAGTTACATAAATTATTTACATATTATTATCCATTTAAATAATTTTCTATTTTATCTTTTTTTTTAAAGGACCGAGCCAGTTTATTCCTCAAATCAGGGATATATACAAATTACTGTCAAGCATTCCCAAAGAGCACATTTATTATATCAACTGTTGCCAATAAAACAATTATTCCCATTTGTATTATCTCGTTTTCAAAATTCATCTCTTTTTTCTTTTCTTTCTCAATTCTCACTCCATTTTTATCATATTCTCAACCGAAGTCTGTTTTTCTTTTTCATATGGTGAAAGCTATAGTATGGATGGAAATAAGTTCTCTTACGCAGGCAACTCTTTGTGGACCTAAGTGAGATCTTATGCGAAGAAGAAAGCAGAATAGAATCAAATGGACTCAACTTTTAGCCTTTGGAGGTTGAGGACCTTATCGTTGGCTACTAGAAAGATTAGGTACCGCCAGCTACAGTTTTACCCAATAAAAACAGAAAGGACATGAAAAGCTACTTCTACTGTTCTACCCTGAACATTTATAAATTGATTTAATGCTACTTTTAGCTCCTTAATTTTAAGGTTTTAGCTCCTTAATTTTAAGGTTTTGTATAGTTTTTTGTTTCCAATTATTTAAAATACTTTTTTAGTCTCTCAATTTAAGAATTGTTTTTTTTGTTTATTTGTCTATTAATAAGTTAAATTTATTTATATATGTATATTTTGAATCTTTGAAATTATAAGTTTATATATTATAAGTTTATTGACTAAATTGTATATATTTAGATAAACTTAAAAAACTAACTGATAAAATGATAAAAAATATGCAATTTTCAAAGTTAAGGGACGAAGAAAAAAGAAAAGCAAAAAAAAATTTGAAGGGTAAAAACTGTTCAAAACCTTAAAATTTAGGGACTAAAATTGAAATTTATCCTTATAAATTCCAATCAAGCAGCAGGAGGACGATGGCCTTGCAGAAAGCAGACTCGGAGTTAAGTTTTGGGCTAGAAACAGCTCAACGGAGCACCGCGTTGCCCCTTTTTAACATAAAAATTGATGCTTTTTTATTTTAGCAACATCCTAATTAGAACATCAAGATTTTAATAGAATTGGTACCCACTAATCACTAATTAAAATAATCTTATTCAGCTTAAAATTAGAAATTTAAATCTCTGTTATGCACATCCCTCCTTTACGAACCAAAAGCCCCATTGACCAAAATACAAGAAAGGCGTACCTTCATCAGGGTCTGTAGTAGGTTGAGATTGATTTTGAGCATTAGCAACGCGAAGGAGCTGCTCCAAGATAGCAAAGGAACCCAGAACCAGGAGATATCGTGCTACAGATGATCCCGACATCGCTCGAGGTGATCCCAGCGGTCTATCTCGGTTGGTATATTTCTGACGAATGAAGGAAGATGGAGAGACCAGAGAAATGTGTTACCTTCTGATGTTACATATCTGGACATAGGGACAGCCGCCATGTATAATAAATATGACCAACTCCATTTCAGATTGGTGTATTAATCTATTAGATATGACTTGGAATATTTTGAAAACGTACAGCTTTGCTGAGCTACTACATGCCGCCCATTCACGCGCCTCTACGTAGATCCCCTTTATTTTTTTTAAAAATAATTATATGCAGATAACTTTTTGTAATAGTTTTTATTTACCAGTCATTAATCATTTATTTGGTTTTTATTTTTTAACAAATTTGTAAGGGATCAAATTCGAACGGTTAGTTGTGATTAACCATTTATTTGGTTTGATGCTTCATTTTACCATGTTTTATATAGATTTTTTATGTAATAAATTATTTAAAAATATAAATTTATTATTTTAATTAATTATATATATTTTTATTATTTTAATTAACTATTTTTATATATTTTTGAAATGATAAAAAAAAAAAACAATACAGTACAATATTAATAAAAGAAACCTGAGAGAAACAGAAATGAGGAAAGGTCAGACAAAGCTTAATTTGCACAACTCAATGAGAGTATTTACTAATGCTTAAAAAATACTTGTTTTTAAGAGTGTTATTCTCTTTCACAAATTTAAAATACTTGAGAAAAACACTTAAATTCAATTTTTTAAGTGAATTTTACGCAAACTTTTTAAAATTTACTTAAAACTCATTTTAAAAGATAATTTTTTAATTTTCCCCAAACAGTATTCAAATTTGTAAGAAATAAATAATACTTTTAAAGAAGATATATTTTAAATTTTGTAAAAAACCCTCAATATCTTTTCATTTCTCTCTCATCCCCTTTTTTGAATATATTAAAATAAAACCGATGATAATAATAATAACAACAATAACAAAGTAAAATCTCCCCTCCTCTTTCTTTTCCTCAAAATAAATGAGTGTATATATACACAATATCACAAGCCTAATATAGAGTAAAAGAAAATGATAAGTAAAATTATTTGAAAAGTTATTTCAATCTAATATAAGTTTTTAAACTTTGATCAATTTATACGTATGTAGCATAAATATAACCAGACTCAAATATAATGTGAAATTTAGGAACAAAATTAGAGAAAATTCACCATTTCTTAAAATTGGACACACAATTTTAAATTTTGTGAATTTTAATATTTAAATGCTTTAATTATCAGTTGATGTGAGGCTTCATTAGTACTTTGATTATTGTTATTATTTTTTTGATAGAAGACAAATATCATTAATATAATTGGTAACAAAATACAAGATTGATAGTAAGAGAAAACTAAGCATGACATTAATTGCAAGATAATTTTTGAATGGCTACTTATCTATAGAAGATGGGTAAACTAAGCATGACATGATTGTCAATAATCCCACCTAATCTTTGCCAAAATTTATAATTCATAATTAATCTAGTACCAAAATAAGCAATTTAGAAAAAAAAAAAAAAAAACCCTCAAAAATCCCACGTTATGATAAACTTAAACACATCTATATGAAACACTAAAAGAAAATTGCTCCTATCAGAGTGATCTTACAAAAGGAAACATAATTTTGTATGGTAATATATTCTAATATATCTCCTCGTTTACTAATGCGAGTTGGCATAAAAGCAAATTGAACCCGATTTGCATTTAACTTGAATGACTTCTGATTTTTTTGGAAACATATCAACCCTAAAAAATTTCAAAGCCAATCAAATCCTGAAAAATCCCAAGTCATGCCATTCCATCCGTAGCTGCCACCCAAGCTTCATTGCTACTAATATGATTAGAGCATTCACCTGTTCCCACCCTCACTCCAAAGCCTACCAAAATCTCCCAACCGCCGCCGTCTAGCCAATGTTGCTTGGGCTTTCACCGCCACTTCCTCTATTTTCTCAACCTACCAAAGATCAAAAACCATAGTTTCCTCAACGCCTCCTCCAGTCATCAAACCTATGGCTAGGGGAAAAGGAAAAAAAATAAGCCAAAAAGTAACAACTAACAACCACAAAGAATACGAACAACCGTTGGTAAAAATCTTCCATGACGCAAACCCTAGCCAATAAGAGGTAATTTTTATTATGGTAGGTCACCAACCTCTTGATTATAGGATCTGTGTAGTTACTGACTAACTTTATTAGAAAAATGGTTTGAAATGTATTGTAAAGAAAATTAATAAATTTTATAATAAAATTTTGTTAAATTTTGTTATATTGTTAACTTTTTATATTTAGGAAAAAATTGACATAGAAAAAGCTAGTAAAAAGTTGTTAAATTAGTTTCACATAGAGTAAGTTGAGGAGAGTTTTTTTTTTCTCAAATGTAGTGAAAAAATCATATGAATTAAAAATTGTATTAAAAAAATAAAAACTAAAAATACTACTCTACCCTCATTTTGTTGTTGTATTAAGATGAAATACGTAAATAACACTATAAAAGAAAAAGTTTGGGAAGAAAAGCCTTTTCCCAAATAAAGAGGCCTTGGATGTAATTTCCATTTTTTTCACTAATATACTTCGATTATTTTTGTCTCATTTCTACGCATGCAATTGATACATTAAGGTTGAAGCGTGCATATGACGCGCTTTAAAAATGTGAGAAAATCACACGTTTGGATTGAAGCAGCAAGTCGTTTATGATCTCAAAACCTGTTCAAATGTAACATTGACCTTTGCGGCTGATATGTCAAAAACCAATTATCAGGAGCAACTATTCTTTTTATACCAAAAAAAAAAAAAAAAAGAGCAACTATTCTTTATTTATTTAAACAAATATGATTATTTAGATAATAAGTCAATAGTTATATCAAATCAGCCAATTATAATAATAAGGGGTCGAAACTGCTTAAGAGCGAAAAGGAAGTTGCTCGTTCGTATTCTGCACGCAAAATTACTTTTTAGTATTATATATTGTCATTCTTTTATTTTAAAATAATTATTATTGTTTAATTTTAAATTTATTTTAAATTAATTATTATTTTTTATTTTTTAAAATAAATAAATATTTTTATTTTTATTTTATTATTATTTGTTTATTTTAATTAATTATCTTATTAGAAAAAATTTTATTTTATTTTTTTAGTTTTTTATTAAAGATAATATAAATAAAACATGAATTATCTTTAAATTCTTAATTTAAAAAAAAAAAACCAAAAAATGAAAATTATTTTAGAAAGGAAGGAGTGTTAATTAAGATACAAAAAATTAAGATAGTTATCATAGTTTGATAATTAAAATATTAAAAAAATGATAATTTTAAATTTAAATATTTTAAATAAATCAATATATAAGAGAAATTATTAAAAATATTTACTATAAATTATTTTGTTGGTTAGGTTTAAAGTTAAGTTTTAAGATTAGTACTAAGGACTAAATTAGTCTTCAAGTGTACAAAAACTAACTTAAAAAAAATATACCTAAAAATAAATACTAAAAAAATATTATAAAAATGTATACATTTGTATATAGATATAAGTTTGAATCAGAATAAATTTCTATATGTTATTGGCAAAAAAAACTAAAGAAATAAAAACATAATTAGACTAACAATGTATTTTTTTCAACCACGTAATTAAGTGATGTAGTGATAATTTCTTTTTGTCAAATATAAAAGATTTTAAATTCAACTCATTTGCTATTAGATAAAGGAGAGGATTACTATTTTTATTGCCCAATCCAAAAAAAAAAAAAAAAAAAACAATGTACTCTACATTAAGGTTGAAAATGTAAGAGGAGAAAACTAGAAAAAATACATTTTATTTTCATGCTGAGATACAAAGAGTTATATGTAATAACTTTTATATAGAGTCTAGGGTAGACAATATAACAAAAAATATCGATTATATTGAAAGAGTTATAAATCAGTTTTGACTCTTAAAAAAATTGAAATCTCAACTTTTAAATGATGTTGTTTCAAATAATTAAAACTCAATTCAAAATTTAAAAATCTATGTTATTAAATGTTGATATTTGCATTTAGAAACTAAAAACCTAATTCAAAATTCAAAGATTCATCTTATTAAAAGTTGATATGTGAATTTGAAAACCAATTATATTAGAAAATTTAATCAGTTTTTAAATGCAATTATTAACATTTAATAATGTAGATTTCTAAATTTTGAATTGAATTTTAATTAAACAAAACAAAATTATTTAAGATTCATTACTCTAATTTTTTTTAGAGGCCAAATTAATATACACTTTTTCTATATTAAAATACCTAAATATAATCTACCATATTAATTCAAAAATCAAATATATTATTTGATTACATAGAGTCAATCAATCGTAATATAATTGATTCTTCCAACACCTTAACTCTTTGTTTCTCAAGTTCAACATGCAATCATATTAAGAAATTAATTAATAGCAAAAACATTTTTTTGGTGAATCTAAAGCCATAAAATCCATAGGATTGAATTTTTAGAGGTTCAGTTATGTAGAGTCAATCAATCATACAATATCACAGATGGATCATAAATAAAAATTGTCAATTATATATGATATTGTAACTAGACCATTTTCGTTTGGTATTTGAAGGAATGGTTAAGGGTCTTTATTGAAAAAATTATAGTTTTGGAGCTTAATTGAAAAACTATCGAAAAAGCCTCATAAAGCCCATCCGAAGTTAATGGGCTCTCAAATCTGACAGAACCTTTACCTGCTCATCAGAGCCCAACGGTCGTCTGCTAAAATCACCCAACAAGCCCGCCAGACGGAGTGAAAGAAAATGGCGTTCTCATCAGCAGCTTACTCCCCTCCCCTTATCAGCAAAGCCACCGCCGCTAACAACCATTCCCCCACGACGTCGCTTACATCCGACGCGCCGTCGAGATAGCCGACAAATCTGCGGGCTTCACGTCTCCACATCCGAACTTCGGGTGCGTAATCGCCACGCCAAGCGGAGATGTCGCCGGTGAGGGGTACCTGTACGCCCAGGGCACGAAGCCCGCCCGCTGAGATCCAAGCGGTGGAGGCCGGAGGCGGGCATTGTAGAGGCGCCACTACCCACCTCAATATGGAACCCGGTGACTGCCATGGCGATCACACTGCCGTCTCTGCTCTGGTTCAGGTTTCAATTTCCTTTCTTAAATTTGCTTCTGTAGTAATTTCAAAATAATTTCTTTCGAAAGGAATGAAATGTATATAGAACTCATTGTCTTATCTGTATAAGTTTATCGCACCAATATCACTTGAAAATGTTTTAGGAAACACCTATTTTTTTTTTTTTTTTTTTTATTGGGATAAAATTGGTTTTGTTTAATTTATTGTAAATGTAGCAGGAAGCCATTTTGTAGATTAGGCAGCCATCCAAAGAGTTGTTGTTGGAATCAGGCATCCTTTTCAGCATCTCAGAGGCAATTCTATACGTGCCTTGAGGAGTCAAGGTTTGCATGTTGAGGTTCTCGGGGAGGATGTACAAAGTAAGATTGTGGAGGTATAAATCTAACTGCTTTTTGGGCATGCCGCATGGGTTAGGCTCTTTTGTTTTTTTCCTTATTTATGTTTTAGTTCATGATCCACTCGATATCCTTGAATATGGTTAGTTAAGAAAAATTTCCTTTTTGTTTATATAAATTTGTCTCCTTTACTTCCTTTGATAAATGGTGCTGCAATGTCTTCTTGCAAACTGATTTTATCTGGGTCAGAAATATTGGTTTCCTAGCAGATAATATAAAACATGATAATATTCCATGTGCAATAATAAACTAGACTCTTAAAATTCCTTTCTTTTCTCTCTGTTGTATACACTGCCCTATGCAATGCTATTCTAGGGAATGGATATGATTATGTCATAGAACTTGTGTATTATACTAGGTTTAAATATTTAAATTTGTATTTTATAATGAATGGGTGCTGAAATCACCTGGTAGTAATGTCTACCTATCAGGAGTATGACTTCTTGCTAACAGGCTTAAAAATAATTTATCTTTTTTCATTAAAAACTATAGAAATTTCTAGAAAAGATTATATGAAGCCTAAAATTGTGAATACACACATAAAGCTAGTCGTGGATTATGAGGGGCACAGAAGTTTACAAGTTTATGAGAAGTTAGTGATAGATGACTCTGTTCTTGTTTTATTTTGAGCGTGATGTGAAATGGATGGAGAAGGCAACCTAAACTAAGTCTCTGCTAGATGGAACAGGAACTATGGAATGTGGGTCATAGATAAATGCCCTTTATCATTTTTTGACTGCCTTTATGGTGTTTTCAGTTAACTTTTGCTTGTTTATTGGTCTTATAACTTGATTATGTAATATGTAGTCATGTTGCTTTTCAAAATTAGTGTTGTCTTCTACCTGTAATGTACAGGGAATATAATGTTACAGGAAGCTCAGAAATCATGCCTTCTCGTCAATCTGCCTTTAATTCACAGAGCTACATCTCGAGTTCCATTTTCTGTTCTTAAGTATGCTATGACCCTTGATGGTGTGTATTGTGTATTCTCTAATCCCAGATTTCTTTAGAACTTTATAATTTTTATTTAGAATATAACTGTACTTATGTAAGTGGCATAAAAAGTAGTTATGACTAAGAATCTTTGCTGATAGACTTTGTTGTGTGTTCACAGGAAAAATTGCAGCCAGTAGTGGACATGCAGCATGGATAAGCAGCAAAATGTCTAGGCATAGGGTCTTTGAACTATGGGGCAGAAGTGATGCAATTGTAGTGGGAGGAAATACCATATGCAGGGACAGTAAGTATATCAGTGATCATGCAATTCTTTTTTTGGGTGGTATAGTGATAATTATGCTCTATAAATTTTTATTTATTTTTCTATTTTTTCTTTTCACTTAGATCCACTATTAACTACAAGGCATGGAGGTTGGCATATGCCCATTCGGATCGTAATGACACAGATTCTTGATCTTCCAGTGGAAGCAAATCTGTGGGACATGTCTGAGGTCTAGTATAGTTGTAACACAAAGAGAAGCTAGGAGGAGTTTCCAGAAATTGCTTGCATCTAAAGGAGTTGAAGTAGTGGAGTTTGACATCTTAAATCCCAGAGAAGTTATGGAATATTTTCATGATCGGGGCTACCTATATCTCTTATGGGAGTGTGGAGGGACTCTAGCTGCATCTGCCATTTCATCTGGTGTAATACACAAGGTTATTCCTATCTTTGTCATTCTTCTATGCACTGGCTTCTGTCTGATGAATATATTTCAAAAGAAGTTTCGTATGATAGTTCAGGATTATCTTTGACCTCTTCATGAATAGATATAATAAATTTAACATAGTATTCTTTTCAGAACTCAGTTTACTGTTCTCAGGCTTATTCCACATGACTCTCATCCTTAATTTCTAGTGGAGCTAAGTTGATTGAAATTGGAGCTTAAGTCTACGGAAATTCAGAAGAAAAATTCAAACTTTATTATTGTTGTCTTTCCATCCTCCCTGGTTCATGTAGGTCTGGCATTTGCATGCATGGGTAGTTTTTTCCTTGTTAGTTGCATGATTTTATTGAATAATTTTTCTAAACTATTAAATTTACATTACCATGACTCATTAACCTCAGTTGTATTGGGACAACTGTGGGAAAACAGTGATAATTTTCAATATTGGAATTGTTTGTAAAGAAAGACATTTCTTTGAGCTTTAAGAATAAGATGGCTGACTGTTGCTTATCTTGGTGTTTTTGGTCTGTACAGAGATGGAAATGCCATGAATCTTTATTTTAATCTTCTAGCAATGAACTCTTGTTTGATTTCTGATTCTTTATGCTGCAGTTTAGTTTCTGCTTATGAGTCAGAGCAAGTATCTTGATTTGTTTAAGGGAAGAGTTAGTGTTTTGCAACAGTGTTGTTTTTAAAATACTACATTTGAAACGTCTGCTTTGGCATATACATATGCTTTTTCAAATATTGACTGTGAGAGTGTGATATATTTGGTTGCTGTGTACATTTAGCAATAGAGTAGAAATTGGTTTTGTCTTGTAATGTTTAGATTGAGGTAATTGGACTGCTATAATGTCTAACAATACCTGCTGATATTAGAAATATTAACTAGCAAATAGAAGATTTAAAATCTGAATTACATCTCTCTCTATTGTTGTTTTTGATTATTTAACTTGGTATGTGTTTCCGTTATATCTGTGTGCAGTGGTATGCAGATTAAGACCCACAAACGAAATATTGCTGCTCCCCTGGACCCTGCAGCCCTGGACCCTGCAGCATTTGCTGATGCAGTGGTCCAGATTTATCTGGATAATGCTGGTGATCTGATAAATTTCTACAGCAGTGTAAATTTCAATTTCAACCCTAGTGGTTTTGGTTAAAATAAACTCTGACCTTGACCACCTTAAGACAATGTTATTAATAATTTTATGTTTCTTACTGTCTCACTTTGCTTGAATGGGAACTCTCATTCAGGTTCCTGCTGGAGCCAACACGTGGCACCCAGTCCCAGTCTCCATTCATTCTCTACGGTTTTGTATTTATTCTTAGTTTTTAAGAGATAGGGAGAGAGGGCTTTCTTTTTGAAAATCTAAATTAATTTGAAATGAGGGGGTAGTTTCATCAGAGAAAATAAATATTATAGTGTCAATGAATTTGTCTATCAAGTTAAAGCATATGGTGGTTAAGCATCAAAAAATCAAACCTCATGTCTGAATTTGATTTTTACCAAACCAAAAGTGTAACAGCTGAATATACTCTTTACAACGTGCATCTGACATCCCTCTAGGTGGTTATCTTACTTACTCATCTGACCAAACATTTTCTTCATGCAGGAACTTGTTTGCAAGATCCTCGAGTCTTCAGACCTTAACTTCTCATGCTACAGTGACATCTTCTTTGAGGCAAGTTTCTTGAACTTTTAGATATCTTCTATTTTAAAACAGATTTTTGATTGTTGTTCAGTAATTAGTTTTTGATAGTTTGTTGGCTCTTTAAGATCATCTAGAGAGTATGATCTGCTTTATCTATGGAGAGAAGGATATGGGATTTTTTTCCACCTCTATGGCATAATTTTAAACTTCACTGTTCGTTAATGGATTGATATTGTGTTAATTAGCTTGATATGGAAGCATACAAGTATGGTTACCAGAAGTTAATAACAATGAAAAACTTCTTCCTTCTTCTCTCGTAACTTGTAAGAGACTAGTTATTATGCCATTGCTTCAAATCTGCCTATTGGCTCAAGCATGAATGAGATTGTTTGGTCTTCCAAATTTCTTTTAGTGAGCTATCTTGTGTATTTGCAAAAGCCTGAAGTTAATTAATCCAGTAAAAATTATGCCAAAGCAAAGGTGTGGGTGGAGTTTGGTGACCTTATGAAGTTTTATGTATCGTGTTGTTCCAATTGCTTGCTTTGATCCTTTGTTTCTGGGAACACTGACTTATGCCAGAGTGGGATAATCTGACTTTTTGCAATTACAGGTTGTTTTCACTGGAGGCCGTACACAACCAGGCACAACCGAACCCAATGAGGGGGAGCACCACCCTTACTCTATAATAGACTGTGAGCCTAAGCATGAAGTCATTCTGCCATCTGTGATCTACATACAGAAAATTTTACATTGGAGGCCTTTCCTCATAAAGGACCTAAAAATGTTATGCAAAGATTCTTGCAGTTATTGGATCTTTTTGAGGTAAATGAAAGGAAGAAGCTTGCAATTTTCACAGCTCTTGCTTTCTCCCAGAAACTTCAGGGCTGCCACCAGAGATCGTGTTCCAGCCCTTGCTCAAGAATAATCTTGTTACCAAGGGGTTAGTCCTTTCATTCATAACAGACTTCTTCAAGGAGTACCGGGTTCATAATATCCTGGAGGATTTAATCGCAATTCTGAAGCAAGGTAAAATGGAAGACAATCTCCTGGACTTCTTTCCATCTGCAAATAGATCTGGTGAGGGTTTTTCCAAGCATTTCATGTGAGTTTACTAGTTTTTAAATTGACTAAAACTGCAAAGGCTACTTGTTTGGGATGCATGCTGTGTTTTAGAATTATTAGGTGTGGTTTCCTTTGAACCTTTTGGGACTGATGCCGTGTTTAACCATGTTGATTTTCAGCAAGGAAGGGCTGACGCCCCTGGTTGAATACAATGAGAAAAAAATATATATTTGAGGTGAAACTGAAGGAAATGAAATCTGCTGTAACAACCAGATATCTGAGGAAACTGATATATCTGAGGTCATAGAAACTGTCAAGCAACATGTTAAAGATTCTAAATTACCTGATATTGAAGTTGTGTGGATGCTTTGGGATGTAATAATGGATACTGTTCAGTGGTCTGGGAAGAACCAGCAGTAGAATGCTAATGCGGCTCTGCGACAGGTCAGATTTAGCTTCTTGCCTTAGTTTGCCTGTACCAATCCTGTTACTTTCCCTTCATCTGTTAAATGGGGCACTTGTATAGACACAAAACTAAGATTACTGGTGCAGGCTAAACTAGAATCACCTTTCTAGTAGTAAAGTGATTTGTGAACTTTAAAATGAGTATATTCCAAATGGTTACTCATGAATTTTTAGAAAAGTAATGCTGGGTTTTCTCTCCCTCCATTGTTACAGGTCAAATCATGGGCAAAACTTTTAAGTACCTTTGTACCAGTGGAAAACTTGAGCTGGAACTCATATACAAAGTTCAGATGCAATGCTATGAGGATGCCAAGCTCTGATGAAGCTGTTCCCTGAGATCATAAGGTCTCTCTATGGCCAAGGTGTGCTTGCAGAAGACACCATTCTTCGCTGGTTCTGCAGAGGAATGAACCCTAAGGGCAGGTAAGCAGGTTCATTCATGTTTGTTATCATAATATTAAGAATTATGATAGTGGTTGAGCTTCTTAGTAATTACTGTATTTCACTTTCTTGGTCGCTTAGTAATACATCGTTCTATTTCTTCTTTTTCTGGTTTGAGCATTTTGTTTGTGTATTGATCATTTTAATGCATTGAAAATTGATACAGACAAACATTTGTCGAGGCCCTAGAACCCTTTGTGAACTGGCTGGAAGAAGTAGAAGAGGAGGAATAAGTTGGACCTTGTTCCCCTGGTTTTATTGGCTTGTATCAATTCTTGAGGTGTCCTTTGGCATAAGATATCTCAAGATCTTTGACATTTGGTGTGACATTGTGATGTGAGCAGATCATTGGTGGGTTTTCACCTGCAATAATCAATCACTTTATGCTATCATTTGCATGTTTCTTTTAGCTGTCTTCTTATTTAGCATTAAAATTTATGTTTAAATTGTATCATTGTACTACCTTCGTCCATTTCTGGGACAAAGGCAGGAATGAGAAAGAATCAAAGAACACCTTACATGTAAAGGTCTGGAAAATCAAAAATACCAACTGAAGCATAACTTTCCACGAAGAATGATTTCTTGGGAAAGTTGTTTGCCAAACAATACTTGACAATTGATTCTTATTCTTCATTTTTTAAGAGGTAATTTGAATTAAGTAAGACGGACAAGTAAGTTTCAGCTTGTATTGTAAAAAAAATTAGTTGAAGGTTGTTTCTGTCCTTTTATTAGTGTTTTATTAAAATAATATAATTTTAATATATTTTTTCTCTCTTAATTTTTTACAATAGAGGTTAATATCTATTAATCTGTAAATAAAAACAGAATAATCTAACTAAAAAACCTAAGATTCACAATAAATGACTGGAAAATATGATCAAGTTCTTGTACTAAATTGAATTATATCCTCGGAGATTCATCGGAAATTGATTGAAAGATGTGATTCAGTCGTACTTAACTAAATTTTGTGGTTGCGGGTTCTCCTGCGTTGCCTTCAGAAGTCTGGCAAAGAAAGCGGATACTCAACCTAACTACCAACTCTTGCCTCAGCAAACAACTACTGGATATTTGGTATTGTAATAAAATTGAGTCTTCAGATCATACGTATGCAATGCCCACAAGAAGTCACTGTCTTAAACAGTAAAAAGCTTGAGATATCAAGTTAAAGATTTTGAATTTAAACTTTAAGAAGGAGGAAAAGTTACCCTTATTGTATAGCTTATTATTTGTGTCAAAAAAAAAAAAAAAAAAACCCATAGGTGTGCAACTTTGGCCCTTTGAAAATAATTAACATTATATATTACAATAACCAAAAACAAGCAGCACCAAATCACCAAAAAGATGTTCAGTATCAACTAGTTTCTCAAGAGTTTCATATTTTTATTCACCTTAGACATGGCTTTGATATTCACCATATGTATGGTTTGGCAAAAACTAAAACAAAAACTTCAAAATTGATTTGAGAAACAAAAGGAAACTCGTACAGAAAAAGGCTGCCACTCAAATCCTACATACAATATGTGTAATCAAGAATAAGAATAGATTAATGGATAAGATTATGAAATCACCTGCCCTATCCCAAAATATTATGAAGCATAGGATTAGTAGCCTTTTCTGGAGCGTTCTCTACATCAGCTACCGTGCTTGTGCTTGTCGATGTGGTATAATGGCTGGTATCGGTTGCTCTTTTAGCTTGATCACTCATAGAGCTTGTTATGTCATCAAATCTCCAGTCAGTCAAGTATCCAGGCTTTGAAGTTACTCTGCTCACTTCGGTATCTCCAGAAAGCATAGCAACCACACGGGACATTGATGGCCTTTGCATTGGAGATGTCTGAGTGCACAAAAGGGCTACTCCTATGACACGTTTCACTTCTTCTTCGTCAAATTCTAATATATTAGAGTCGACTAGTTCAACTTCACGGTTGTTTTCATGTAGGTGCCAAGCCTAAAAAGCAGAGAGGAAATAATGCATTATGGTGGAACAAGGATAGATAAATGGCACTGTAAATGGAAAGTAGACATACAATTAAACTCAGGAAGCAGAGGAATAAAGGTGTAAAAAACATTTTAAGTTGTTTTTCTCCCGATATTTTAAGTTGGTTGAAATTCAAATGACCATACATTAGCATTCTAGCTGATCTTATATAGGATTTGGATGAATGTTCAACAGCTATTCCAACTTATTCCTATAATAAATAGATTAGAGTAACGAACCCCGCCAAAAGTAATGTGGAAAACGGTGTGAATGCTTAGGGGAAGATTACCCCGTTAAAGAATGTTTCCAGAATTTAAACATTAATAAGCACTGTATATTTAACCATACTTTTCACTAAGAAAGCATACATTTTTGTTCTTCTAGCATCATGGCACGAAAATTAATAAAATGAAATGCACTTTTGAAAGTATGGGTGTAGCTAAGTTATAATATGGAACTTTCAGAAGCAATTGAATATTTTAATAAAGAAAGAAGGATCAAATTGAAAATTGGTAGTAAAAGAAGGATATATTTCATACCCATTCCAGAAGATACATCTTCTCTCCCTCCAAGCTCGAGTCAGAATTAGGTCTTCCACTGACAACTTCTAGAGCCACAACACCAAAGGCAAACACGTCAGTCTTCTCAGTAAGGTGTCCACGCATTGCATACTCTGGTGCAAGATACCCACTACATAAGTAGCAACCGAGACAATCTATTAGTCAGACGTTAGAGGAATAAAATAACATGAAAATTCATGGCCAAAAAAAAAAAAAAAAAAAAAAAGAGGAAGAAGAAGAAGGAGAAAGAAAGAAAATGAAATTGTTGAGAAGAATTATTGATGTCAAACTTGAAAAGTATACATTGTCCCAGCAACACGAGTGCTTATGTGAGTCTTCGTATCATCATAAAGTTTCGCTAGACCGAAATCAGAGATCTTGGGGATCAGAGTAGAATCCAGCAAAATATTACTGGCCTTTACATCTCTGTGTACAATTCGAAGCCTTGACTCTTCATGAAGATAAGCCAGACCCCTAGCTACTCCCAAGCATATATCATAACGTGTTTGCCAGTTGAGGTTCAAACTTCCTTTTCCTGCTCAATTAAAGCCATAAGTAATTCTATGCTATGTTTCCATACAAGAAAGAAAAACATTTCATTGCATTGCAATATTTTCATACCAAATAGTGCCTGATCTAGGCTCTTGTTTTCAAGATACTCATAAACAAGCAGGCGTTGATCTGCTTCAATGCAGCAACCATGTAGTTTGACTAGGTTTCGATGCTGCACAGCAGAGATAGTAGCTATTTCTGTAACAAACTGACTCTTGCCTTGGCGTGATGCCACAGACAATTGCTTCACGGCAATTATTCTCCCATCATTAAGTTTTCCCTAGGTAACAAATAATTCAAGTTAATAATGGAATACAATGTATCCAAATAAAAAGAATTCTTGTCTTCAATGTTCCCAATCCTTACTATTTCTCTGAAAAAGTTTTTTTATCTGCAAGAGTTATCAATTTTGCTTTCTCCATCCATTAAATTCTCAATGTTGTGCCATAAAACAAAACTAATCATGTTATCATTAGACCAGATGAAAAACTCCATTGCACATTTAAGCCAATGCATATAAAATCCAGTTTAATCAATAAATTGACCAAGATGTGAACCTGAAATTTGCTAACCCATCACATTAAAATTCTGTATATTGTTCTAATTTATTCATTAGTTTCATAGTTAAATCAACTTCCAGGCTCCAGCCTCATTTTTTATTCCTACAGGCTACAACAAAAAGTGAGGAAGAACCCATCTTGTGTCCCATCTCACTCGTTGGATACCTGAATTAAGGGATAGAAAGTTTAATCAATCTGATTATCTCAAGCACTTCTCCATCTTATGACCCATCAGGGCTACAATACCCAACCATTTTGGCTGTCAGCTTCCTTTTCTTAATTAGAATTTCATTTACAGTTAATCATGTCTTTATTTAGATTCCTTAGAAGACAAGAATTGGGGTTTTTAGACTCTATTACTATTGTACTCTTTATAAGTTATGTTTATGATTTCTTAAAAAAAAAAAAAAGTTATGTTTATGATTTCACTCAATTGGGTACTTTTCCTCTCCTATATTTTTCCTCGAGTTATCTTTCCTATTTCCCCCTATTCCTCTCCCTTCATCTCTTCTACTTCCTTCCCTGCATCAAAAATAATACCTAGAACCATCAATTTTCAGTCATCTTTAGCACAATTTATATCTATTTGCACTAGAGAACAAGTTATAAAAAATAGAACTATAAAGTATGCTCAATTATGATAATAATATCAGCCCCCGACCAATAAATGCGAATAATAAGGGTACAACTCATTCTTAATAAATGTTATATGAAAAAATTAGTTGCAATCTATTAATCACAGGTTGGCAGCCACCATGAATTTATGAAATAAAACCCCTCGCTTCTTATCCGATAAATATTTTGAATAGACCTGATGTTTCGATCCCCATGTCAGTCACTAATTAGAACTACAATTTACCTTATAGACCGGTCCAAATCCTCCCTCTCCTAGCTTATTTGCTGGATTAAAATCCTCTGTAGCAGATTTTAGTTCAGCATAACTGAAGGTATATGGTCTGACATCTATTCCTTGGAGCTCTGCATATACAACGAAATAAAGGTTACTGTAGGAAACAGGTTGTTCATACACATGGTTGAACATCTATGAGAAGACATGGGCTGGAAAACATGGCCTCACTAAATGTTCTATTTGAGGATGCATATATATAATTTTCTCTGGTCAAAGCTGACAATTGGCCATAGAGGCATTTAAAATATTTTAACATCTTGGGTCTTATGATGGAAAGTAAAGAATGTTGCTCACTTGCAGCATACAAGAGTTTTCCCCTGGAACAAAGGAACACTGCACACTGGTGTTTGAAAAATAACATAAAGAGTAAAAAAAAAAAAAAAATCTAAAAATTATTTTCCACTGTGATTTTGAGAATGCATTGGAAATTAAAAAAATCAAAAGTGAAAATTTTTTGTGAAACAAGAAAGCATTTCATAACAACACTTAGGATAAAATATTGCAAACAAACACTAATTGCATAACCGTGACAAGAATAGAACCACAGGCATGTCTGCAAGAAGTTTTCTGTGCACACTACAAACTAAGTAGTTAAAACAGTATTATGTATATGAAACAGGATTTTCATGCCCACCTTCATCTTCATTGGATTTTGGCCTTCTCCCAAAAACGAAGAATGCTGCAAGAAACAGAAAGCTAACAACTCCAACACCAACAATAACCCCTACGATCAGACCAGTTCTGTTCTTGCTGCTGCTCGGAGGCTTATTACTAACAGTAGGTTTGAAATCTGTATAAAGACTCATAAGTCAACCATCGACCATACTACACTTATATGCAAGGATAAAGAACAAAACATAGAAAATTTGTAAGTTATCCTACTTGGAGTAGCACTGATTGCTGAAATCAAAGGACCATATGTGCCTTGAGATGGTATACAGCAAGTCCCCTTTCCAGCCCAAAATAGATGAATTTCAAGGTAGTTTTCAGATACC